CTGGAGCCTCTGGGCACAGCTTCGCAGGGGCCCCCCACCCTGCAAAAATCGTACGGGACCCCCTCCACCACGCCCCCACCACACCTGACCCTGGCAGCCTCCTGGAGCCTCTGGGCACTCGCTCATGGGGGCCACCCACCCTGGAAAATCATTTTTGGCAGCCTGGCCCAAGGGAAAGCAGGTCCTCGCCTCTGCGGTGCCCCGAAGCACCTCGGAACACGTTCTCGGGCCCCGGGGCCCCGTCACGGCTCGGCGCCGGCGCCTTCGCGCCAGCAAGGGGCAAAAGGAAAGCGCTGCCTGGCCGGAGCCTCCTGGACCCTGTCCTGAGGTTCCCTGCCAGGACGTGGCGCCGGCGAAAGCCGCGAGGGTGGTATGTGGGTGGGCAAAACCGCCGCCAGGCGGCTGCTGCCCGCCCTGCGGGCGCCGTCCCACGCGGAGAGCATTCGGTCACCAGAGAGCCTGAGAAGGTGGCCCCTGCCGACAAGCTCTCAGGCACGTGCCTGCGAGGGAGCGGGCAGTGCCACAGCGCACCAGGCCGTCGCTCGTGCTTTGGCCTGGCTTGGCCCTGCTCCCCGCAGAGACCGAGAGCGTCTCCTGTGGGGCGACCAGAACGGCTGACCCAAGAGACTAGCACCGAGAATACTTCCGCCTCCGAAAACGCAAGCCGGCCCGCCAGGAACCGCTTGCCCGCGAAGCAGGCGCAGAGGCGTGTGAGCGGGAGCAGAGGAGGTGAGGCGAGCACGCTTGGGCCTGCTCCACATGATTTTCCTGTGCCGGAAACGAGTTTACGCTTCATGAAAATCATTTTTGGCAGCCTGGCCCAAGGGAAAGCAGGCCCTCGCCTCTGCGGTGCCCCGAAGCACCTCGGAACACGTTCTCGGGCCCCGGGGCCCCGTCACGGCTCGGCGCCGGCGCCTTCGCGCCAGCAAGGGGCAAAAGGAAAGCGCTGCCTGGCCGGAGCCTCCTGGACCCTGTCCTGAGGTCCCCAATGCACCAGGAGGCGGCGGACCGCGCAGCAGCGCCTGAGGAGAGGACATCGCGATGTGTTTTCCCTTGCCCCAATGCAAACGATGCGAACTCAGTCCTGCTCGCCGTCGCTGGAGTCAGAATGTTCTACTAGCCATTCAGCGGCCGTGAGAGCCCCTCGGCTCTGGGCGCTAGCATAGCCGAAAGCAGCCACGCCTTTCCATCCACCGCTAAAGAACAATGCTGTCGGCCCTCCTTGTTGGAGGGCTTCGTTTGCGAACCCTCTCCTGAACGCATGCGTGCCCCAAGCAGGCGCGCTACGCAGATGCAGGGCGTTCGCTGCCAGCTTTAGCACAGCGAGAGCGTCGGCGTATTGGATTCCTGAAAAAGGAACAGCGCTTGTTTCTCCTAAGGAGAACAGTGTGCAAGCACCGCACAGGAGCCGACCCTGCTGGTGGCAGATGCAACGCCTCGTCGTCTCGCAGGGTTCATTGTACGACTTCCGGTGAGCAAAACGGATGATGCACGTTTTACGGCCCTCGCCGGTAAAACGACATGCGACCGCGTGGGTCCCCAGATTTAGTACTTCAGAATATCTCGAGCAAAAATGGCGGGCAATCGCCCACGAGGCCGCTAGTGTCGGATTTCCGGCTTCCGAGCACCACTTACGGATGCGTCTGGTCTCCTCAGCTGTGGCACGGATTTTCTCTCTTCTGAATTCATACTTCGTTATCTTTTCGGCGCCTTTCGACAATCTATGCGTATCTGCGAGGACGCCCAGCGGAGCCTGCACCAAGTGCAAGACACTGCGCACGTGCGACACGTATCTCTGCAAGGTGTGGCCGTTGCGAAACAAACCAACGAAAGTGTCAAGGATCAGTTCTGTTGGTGGCCACCCAGGCGCCCCGACAGCAGTGGCAGCGTCGCCCCATAGGCGCACTGCGGAAGCATACTGGGAGGCGCTTTTCCTCCAGCTGGCAAATTCCACCCGCAAGGTGTGCAAGCTCAGATGGTCGCCGCCGCTGGCTTCGCGACGAGCCCGCTTGATCTCGTCCCGTGGCCTGCCAGTGGGCTCCGCTCCCGGATAGCAGCTGCAATTGGCAGCAGCTGCCACGGCGGCTGCGAGCACTGCAGGCGCAGGAGCGGCCCGCGCCCGCCGCGCCTCTCCAAGCACTAGAAAAGCAGCGCGGGCCTTCTCTTCGGCGGGGGCGTCCAATCGCTTCGCAGTGGGCGTCTGGTCGCCAGCATAGCCAGCGCCTGCGCCGCCGGAGGCGGAGCCCGCTTGCGCAGCGACGCCCGCTGCCAGAGATGCCGGGCGCTGGGGCTCCGTTCGCCCGCCAGGCTTGTGCGCTTGAGCTGCCTGCTCGCGACTGGCGCTGCTCCGGCAGTGCGACAAGAAGGCTTTGACGAAGCTGCTGTTGCAAGCGGCGAATGCCGGCACGAGCTCTGCGAAGTCGTCGGCTCCAATGTCGCTCAGATCCGACATGTGTTTGAAGCCCGATTCTGTCAACGCAGCGATCAAGCCCGTGACGCGGCGCCCTGGCTCTGCCTGCGCCGCGACGCCGCGGACGACGGCCGCCAGAGGGGACGCTTCCACCTCGACGCGGACCTCCGCGACCTCATCGCTGGCAGCTGGCGGATGCGAGTACTTAGCGGCACGGCTTTTGTCGATGAATCTCAAAGCCATGCTGGGCCAGAGCTCCGGAACAGAAGACACAGAGAATGCGCGCACAAGTAGCTGCGTGGACAACCGATTTTCACGTGATATGACCTCAACACAGGATTACGATGATGTTTTTCCCTTTTGCCGCTCACTGTCTCCGAATCACCAGGGCGCGTCGGCTGGGAAGGACCACGGCATTTCTTGAAACCCGTCGGCGGCTAACTTACGCAGCTGCTCTGACTTGGTTTCTGGCCGGGTCGGAGCGTCGGCCAAATTTAAATGCGATGGCACGTGCCAAAGATGCAAATAATGGCCCCTCTGCGCGACTGCAAACCAAAGCTCGCCTATGAGCTCGTTCCAATCAAATTGCCTGGAACAGCCGCGTAAAAGTGCACCTAGCGCGCTTGTGTTATCCACGAAGGCGAGGATTTCAAACTCGCCAGGCAGATAACTCAGCAAAAACTTAAGCGCGCAGAGAGCCGCCATGAGCTCCCAAGTGCCGATCTGATTCTTCCGATGAAGCACCCACTGCCTCGCCTTCGCTGGGACATCAGCAGCAGCCCAAGCCTTTAAACAGGGAGTTTGGATGACCCATGCCATCCGTCCCTGGCCTGTGGCGTCGGTGTAAAGGATGCAACGCTTCTTCTGGCGACGCATCACCGGGACGCTCCTCGATGGCGGTTCCTGTAAGAACCGCAGCCACCAACGCAGACACAATTTGGTGCGCTGGGACAGCCGGCTCTGGTTGCCTGAGCCGTGGTGGTAAATGGCAGCAAGGTAGACGCGCGCGCCTCGGCCGAAGACGGCGGTCGCACCCCAGCTCAATTTGCCTGCTAATTTTAAAGCCCGCGCAGGCGAGAGCGATCTTCGCCGCAGAGCCTCTCGAATTTCTGCGGTCCATTTTTCCAACCTCTCTGCTTCGAGAGAAAACTGGATCAGCTGGTTGTGGTCGTCAAATTCTACGCAGACTCCGAGGATTACGGTCTTAGTGGCCTCCGTGACGGCTTTGCCGGCGTCGAGATCCCAGCCCAGCAGTTCTGACACGACTGCTCTTGCCAGGCGCGCAGAGCCGGCGGGGCCGATTAAGCAGTCACTGCCAATATCGCGCCCCTCCAGGGCCGAATCGCCGGCGAACATATCGTCGACAAAACGCAAATATAACAAGTGAAACAGAGCTGCCAAAATGCCTTGAATGGCGAGACCGAAACGATCCCAACCGGACACTGAGGCGGAAGAGCCAAATGGTAGGCACAGCAACTGTAACGCCTTACCGTCTGCCACTGCTTCTGGCCAAGCTGTCACTGCTAGCGGCAAGTGGCCGCTGCAAATCGGCAGTGTCTTAAAAGCATGCCGGAAGTCATCTTTCCTCCACCTCATGGCAATGTGTTGCTTGCCTGCTGCTGTGTGGCGCACTAATGCCACCAAAGTGTCCAGCGTGTCTGGACATGTTCTTTCACTATGTACAACCGCGCCATTCACCGCAGACGCAGTGAAATCGTCTATGCAGCGAATTTTTAGCATTCCGTCTCTCTCCCCCTGCACGATAGGGAAGCGAGCTGTTAAAACACAAGAATTTACATCTAGGTTACGGAAGCGGGCCTTGTCATCTTCGACCTCTTTTGAGCAGGCCGATAAAAATTGAGTCCTAACCCTCGTATCGCCGCCCTTTTCCGCGGCGATTCTACCGAGAGTCGCCTCATTCCGCTCGCGCGGATGTGCTAAAAGCGACCGCAAAGTCTCGGCTGGTTCCAGAGACGTGGCAGCGGGCGCATGGATGCCACTAGCAGGCAGGCGCCCCACCAAAGGGAAGCCATGGCAGAGGTTGCGAAACAAGGTATTATCTGGCCATGCTATAGCCTCGAGCATCTCTTTCAGCAGCAGAAGGTTCTTCTCCGGACCCAGCACTGACTGACAGTGAGCTGGCAAACTTCTAAAGATAGTCTGCCACTGTGGGTCCGTCACTAGCTTCCGATGCTTCCAAAAGGCAAGAGCAGACTGGCGAGCGGTTTGCAGCTCGGCAACCGACATTGAAGCCGATCTCGCGAAATGGCCGTTTAAAAATGCTGGCACGCGCGGGCTATCGTCGGCTTCTGGCAAGCCGCTGGCCCAGCGCAAGTGGTCGCTCGGACCCAGGCTATGCAAATCCTCGCGGGCGCTAAATGCAAAGAAAGCTGCCTGGACAGCTTCGAGTGGAGAATTTGCTGACTCACTTGACCTTGAACTGGTACCTGGAAGCGGCGACGCCTCCGTGTCGTCTGATGCTTCCTCCGAAATATCACTCCCGGCGCCCTCGACTAGTGGTGCTTGGCCCACTCACCACTTCTTTCCCCAACTGTTGTACTGCTGATTGCCGGAGCGGGGGCTGCGAGACCTGTGCTGATAATCGGTGCCCGCCGTGCCCTTGGGGCGCTTGGCCGGCGACCGGACAGGCCGGTTGTCCGCGCCGTCGGAGCTCTTCTTGCTCCCCTTGCCGCCCTTGTCGGCGACGCCCTTGGCGCAGCCTTTGGGCTGACCCTTCGACTGCTGCCCCTTAGCTGTCACAGCCCGGCCAGCCTCCGTGAAGCTTTTGTTTACTTTGTCTTTGGCGTCAGCTAGGTTTTCACGATCGATCTTGGCGAAGTAAGGCGCCAAATCTACGACGTCTTCCTCCAGAGCCCTGGCCATGGCCCTCCTCTGGAGAACATCGCATTGATAAGCTGTCCTGACTCCACCGTGTTCCTCGGCGATTCGCACGATGTTGTGGGCGTACGCAAGGAAGTCAGCCATGCTGCATGCCTTGGTGAGGATTCACCTTGAATCCCCACTCGTGCAGGTGGCCCATGAACGTGGCAAAGCCAGCGTAGTCGACTTTGTCCATCCACGCCATGTTCCGCTTGGCGGCAGCGCTCTGCTTCACCCGCTCCTCGTAAGAGCCGTCCCCCACGACAGCGTCGATCATAGGAGTCCGGCTCCAAGTTGGGCGGTGGTGATCGCGCAGATCCTCGCCCTCAGCGGACCCGACCCACGGCCTGCCTTTGTCGTGCGCGATCTTCCCCGCCGCCTCGAACTTCGCGAGGACCTCCTCTGACGGGAGTGCATCCTTGGCGAAATGCTGCATGCCCAGCTCGAGTTTCCGGTCCTGCAACTTGAAACTGAGTCCTTTCGGCTTCCCTTTCTGCAGCGCCTGCGACTGAAGTTCCGCAAATTGCTTCACTGCTTCAGCCATGCCCGAAAGCTCTTTGTTGTTGTGGGCCACCTCTGGTGGCACCGATGGTCCTGGCGAGGCTTTCTTCGCGCGCGCCCCCTGCACCTTGAGTGCCAAGACAATCTGTGCCGGCGAGACTTTCCAGCTCTTCCACGGGTCGTCCTGTTCGGTGGCATACGGGGTGGCGTGAACGGGAATGCTCGCCTTGATCATGTCCCGCATGTGAGGGTCTTCGAAGTCGGCTGGCGCGATGCTGCCTCCCGTCTCGGCCAGCAGCCGCGCGACAGACACGTAGTGGAAGAGATCGTGCTTCTTGGCGGGGTCGACGTCGACATTGATGACGAAGTCCACCCACTCACGCACCTGATCTGCACCTGCGCCGTTGAAGGCTCCACTGGCGGCGGTAGCGATCATCGCCGCGACGTCACTCGGAGAGAAAGACATCTTCCCTCGGACGACGCGTAGAATCAGATTGCTCTGCGTGCTAGGACACAAATCTGCAATTCAGACACCTTGTCTGAGCCATCACGGTTACAGTGGACAGCTGAAGGATCTCCCGCCGCAGGTGGACACCTGGCCTTTCTTCCGACGAGACAAAGAGGAGAGTGGCCTCAGGCATGGTGAGAGCAACCGTATTTCCGATTCCTCAAACATGCAGGCAGGCAGCTCCTCCAAAGATGCCTTCAACCAAGACTGCCCTTCGCAAAATCAGTTCTGACGCCGCCTGCTGCCGCCACCAAAACACGCGACGGCAACCTGTGAGAGGCTGGGCAAGGTCTGAGCTGTGAGAGGGCAGATTGCCTGGGGCGTGCTCGTCTGAGCTAGTGCGGCACAACGCACGAGACAAGAGACGACAACCTGCTCAGGCGCGGTCTGCACTGCGGGGCAAAACGTAGCCAGCGCTGATTGCGATGCTTATCCCCCTCCGCAGCCTGAGTGCACCACCCAGGCCTCCGGAGGGCGTCATAAGCGCGCCTGCCGAGCGTTGCGTGCGATGCTGCCCCGGTGGAGAACCTGCCTTGCCGCGCTGGCTCCCTGCAGCTTGACGGTGCTGGGCTGCCGTCAGAGAAAGGATTCCCCTGACGCCACCGCGCCGCCGACGCGATTCAACTTTGTCGCCGCCGCCGCCAGAGGACACAGAGCAGATTTGAATGATGAGATGGATGAGTGAGCGCCCATCTTTGGGGCGAGCGCGTCCGCCTGGACGCGGCGCGAAGGGGCTTACGCTCGCCCTTCGCGATAGAATGCTGTCCGTCGCCGCGGAGCAGGCGAATCCGTCTCCAAACGGTTTCTTTCCTGGTGGGTGGTCTGGGTGACCCCATCCTTTATGTGAGGCGCGCCGTCTTGGCGGGCAACGCTTCTTTGGGAACCATTTTGGGGCCGAAAATCTTCCGAAATCCGATGGGCCGAGTTCCCATGGGAAATCCGTCCAGTTGCAATCTCAGCCGCCGTATTTTCAGCAGCCACACCAGAATTTAATTCTGAGTTCGCTGGTGAAAGGGCGTCAGCATGGATATTCCGATTACGCGCCGTTTGGGACGCAGGCCCCCCGGGGTCGGTCGAGGACGGGCGTGCTGCACAAATGCAAAGCACCCCCGCCCCCGTTGTGTGCAGGTGGGGGATTAGCAAATGCTCCCCCATCAAGGACTAGCTTCTGCCGCCTGCACACATCCGACCCCGAGTGCCCCAGTGTGTCCGTAGCCCCTGCTTCTGGCTCGATCGCGACGGCCAGGTCACTGCATTTTTGGCGCGCCTGGGCACTGGAATGCAGAAAGGAACTAAGAATGCGATATTCTGGCGCGCGAACGCCCAGGAGCACTAAGTCGCACTCAGGTTGCGAATCTGGGTGCGCATGGGCACCAGAAAGCAAAAGGGGACTCACAATGCAATTTCGCGCGGACGCCCACGAGCGCTAATGTGCGCTGAGCTTACGAATCTGGGCACGCCAGCGCAGTAGAACGCAGAAAGGCGTTCAGAATGCCATTTTGGGCGCGCGAACGCTGAGGAGCGCTTTGCTGCGCTGAGATTGCGAATCTGGGCGCGCCTGCGCTCCAGAACGCAGAAGGGACACAGAGTGCAATTCTGGGCGCGCGGACGCCACAAGCGCTCAGATTGCAAACGTGGGTGCGCCTGGAATCAAAACCCAGAAAGGCGCTCAGGATGCATTTTTTTTTGGGCGCGCTAACACCCAGGAGCGCTAAGTCACGCTCAGATTGCGAGCCCGGGTGCGCCTGGGCGCCAGAACGCAGAGAGGAGCCCAGCATGCAATCCTGGGCGCGCGGATGCCCAGAAGCCTTCAGACTGCGAATATTGGCGCGCCTGGTCACCAAAACGCAACGCTAAGTCACGCTCAGATTGCGAACCCCGGTGCGCCTGGGCACCAGGCCGCCGAAAGGCTCAGAATGCAATTCTGGGCACGCGGACGCCCTCAGACTGCGAATCTTGGTGCGCCTGGCCGCCAGAACGCAGAAAGGAACTCAGAATGCAATTCTGGGGGCGCGGGCGCCCAGGAACGCGAAGTCGCGCACAGACTGCAAAACTGGGTGCGCCTGGGCACCAGAACGCCGAAGGAGCACAAAATGCAGTTTTGGGTACGCGGACGCCCACGAGGGCAAAGTCGCGCTCAGACTGCGAATCTTGGTGCGCCTGGCCACCAGAACGCAGAAAGGAACTCAGAGTGCAATTCCAGGGGCGCGGGCGCCCAGGAGCGCGAAGTCGCGCACAGACTGCAAAACTGGGTGCGCCTGGGCACCAGAACGCCGAAGGAGCACAAAATGCAGTTTTGGGCACGCGGACGCCCACGAGCGCAAAGTCGCGCTCAGACTGCGAATCTGGGTGCGCCTGGGCACCAGAATGCAGAAAGGAAGGAGCATAGAGTGCAATACTGGCAAGCGAAGGCCACCCGAGTGCACAGTCGCGCTCAGACTGGCCGGCACAGATCTGGGAATGGCAGGCTGCGAGGGCCAGAGAGAGAGCACGGCCCCCACGGGGGCAGCAACGACGCACTTTACATGTCACCACAGGCGGCAAGGACCAGCGATAGAGTAGCCCTCACGGCGGGGTGCGAGAATGGCGCTCAGCGGCGCCAGAAATGCACTGAGGACCGCACCCACTGGACACCAACAAGGAGCCTGCGCCCCGGGACGCCCGGTCCTCTGGCGAAGAGGGCCAGAGAGCGTAGCTCGACAGGCCTGGGTTTGCCGCTCGCGAGGAGGCAGGGAACCTCCACGTCGCACGAGGTAAAGCCCGCGAGAATGCAGCGACCCCAAAGTGACTTCTGAATGCCCGCGAGAGGGCTTTGCCCGCGAGAAGGCAGCGAGGTAACCTGCACGCAGCATGCTACACGGAACCCGGCACAGCCTGGGAGAAGTGCGGCCTGAGTTTGCTCGCGAGAAGGCAAGGACTCTGGGTGTGCCCGCGAAAAGGCAGGGACCCTGGGTTTGCCCGCGAGAAGGCAGGGACCCTGAACTTGCCCGCGAAGGCGGAACCAGAGAATGAGAAACACGGTGGCCTGAGTTTGCCCGCGAGAAGGCAGGGACTCTGGGTATGCCCGCGAGAAGGCAGGGACCCTGGGTTTGCCCGCGAGAAGGCAGGGACCCTGAAAACCGCCGCCAGGCGGCTGCTGCCCGCCCTGCGGGCGCCGTCCCACGCGGAGAGCGCTCGGCCACCAGAGAGCCTGAGAAGGTGGCCTCTGCCGACAAGCTCTCAGGCACGTGCCTGCGAGGGAGCGGGCAGTGCCACAGCGCACCAGGCCGTCGCTCGTGCTTTGGCCTGGCTTGGCCCTGCTCCCCGCAGAGACCGAGAGCGTCTCCTGTGGGGCGGCCAGAACGGCTGACCCAACAGACTAGCACCGAGAATACTTCCGCTTCCGAAAACGCAAGCCGGCCCGCCAGGAACCGCTTGCCCGCGAAGCAGGCGCAGGGGCGTGTGAGCGGGAGCAGAGGAGGTGAGGCGAGCACGCTTGGGCCTGCTCCACATGATTTTCCTGTGCCGGAAACGAGTTTACGCTTCATCAAAAATCGTCCGGGACCCCCCCCCGCACGCCCCCACAACACCTGACCCTGGCAGCTTCCTGGAGCCTCTGGGCACTCGCTCATGGGGGCCACCCACCCTGCAAAAATCGTCCGGGACCCCCCCCCGCACGCCCCCACCACACCTGACACTGGCAGCCTCCTGGAGCCTCTGGGCACAGGTTCGCAGGGGCCCCCCACCCTGCAAAAATCGTACGGGACCCCCTCCATCACGCCCCCACCACACCTGACACTGGCCACCCAGGAGGGCCCGAAGAGACGACTACCCCAGCAAAGCACCCTCATAGCAAGTAATGGATCCAGATTTCCAAATCGGAGAGCTGAAGCCCTCTTGTGCCGCCTTCGAGTTCGCTTGCGCGTTGATTCGCCCGTCTTGGGTCGATCTGGGAGGCCACTTGAAGAGTCAAACAAACCACACTTGGATAACTTCGGACATGCAAGCTCTTCTGGGGTCGGCGGCAGAGGCGGCAGCCTAAGAGATAATGTGATGGAGACAGCATCCATCAGAGAAAACCACAATTGTCAAGCGTTGCGTGGAAGAACAGTGCGCGGAAAGGGTGGAGCATCTTCCGGACTGCCAGGGGAGAGAGGAGAATGGCATTCGTAACATGTAACTGTGGAGGGCGAGGATGACGGTGCGCTCCTGGCATATCTGACATCCTACCCTCCCACGCATCCCTTCACACTGCGCTGACTTTTCTATATCCACCGTCAGGTGTGACAGCAGACCTGCAGACCCTAAAACGACCCCATCGCGCTCTGCGCAACCAGACAGGGGAGCTGGGTGACTGGAACAAAGGGAAGAGGAGGTGCCAGATGAGAGCGGACAAGCGGGTGAATAAGCAGGAGCATGAGGAAGGAGGAGGATGAGGAAAAAAGGGATGCGAAGGAACAGGATGAGGATGAGGAAGGAGGAGGAAGGAGGAGGATGAGGAAAAGAGGATGAGGATGAGGAAGGAGGAGGAGGAGGAAAAAATGGATGAGAAGGAAACAAAGAGCGAGATTAGCTGGAGAACCCAGGGCAGGCGGAGAAGGAAGGGGGGCGACAACGACGAGGAAGGACTCCGATCCAGAGATCGGGCCCGCGCTGGCGCTGCATCGGGAACGACAGTTTGAAACCACAGCAGCAACCACAACAACAGCAACAGCAACCGCAGCAGCAACAGCAACAACAGCAACAGCAACAGCAGCAGCAACAGCAACCGCAACAGCAGCAACAACAACAACAGCAACAACCACACCAACAACAACACCAACAACCACAACAGCAACAGCAACAGCAACAGCAACAGCAACAGCAACAGCAACAACAACCACAACCACAACAACAACCGCAACAACAACAACCGCAACAGCAACAGCAGCAACATCAACAGCAACAAC